GGGGGGGGGGGACGGAGAATGTGAGTACTGAGCAATGCGAAGTTTCATCTTTTTTTTCATTCCGGTTTACGCCCAGTCTTGTAGTGTTCCTTTCTTTACTAGCTCATATTTCCTTTCGACATTCAGCACGGCAAAGGATCACTGATGTCTCCCCAATACAAAACCTGCTTTGTTTTTTTTGTGGACTGTAAACTTGTCATCAGAGAAGCCATTTTCCCGTCATACAAATCAAATACCCCGCCTAAAAAATAAAACCTTTACGTTAACAATAAAATAGAATGACGCATAAACAGTGAATGAACTTTTGAATATCACGGCAAAATACAAAAGATGCGGTGGAAACCCCCTTTAATAAAGTCACCAATGGGTCAAAACACCTTGGTTGTATTAATGAGGTGGCCGTATTACCCGGGTAGGGTCAAATTACATGACCTGAGGGCCGTAATGACAAATACACAATACATTAACTACTGTTCTCTTTAATAGAGAACGGGAATGTAGATATCGCGTACAGTGATTAAAAAAAAACACTTGAAACTTTTTAAAAAAACTTTTAAAACACTTTTAAAAATCAGCTATTTAACCGCCAGAAATGCATTTTAAGTGTAATACAGTTTAAAAACAATACAAGAACAGACACAGCTTACTAGTTAAATAAAATTGACATGTCACAGGCACTTTAATATTCAAAATTTTGAAAGCGTGTCGTCGAAAAACTGTCCAGCTTGCCAGTATTCAAAGTTTATCTCTGCTGTTTGTACCTTTGAATTTACAACATCGTTCCCAGGTCCTCACTCTCTCGCTCTGTAGGGACAGTAAGAAGAGGACCCTGGGGATGAAGTTGTAAATTTTTATGCTTGGAAAACATTTGATGGTGTCATAAATCTGTGACTAGGACAATTAAAATCAATTTCGTTGCTAACGGTTAATTGCGAGTAATAATAAGCAAACCTTATATTTAGCCGGCCTTTTGTAAAGCGCGCTAGGTTACTGTTTATACTTTATTCATGTTTATTCCATTTGAAAAATTTCATTATAAAAATTAAAAGTGCAACCGGTGCGTTTCTATTCCTTCTCCCACAATCCCCTTTCCATCCCTCTTTCAGACTTAACATGTGGCTAAAGCTTGAAACAACTTGACAGCTACCTAATCAGATTGATATCCAAAAGAAAAATAGGAATGCTGTGAAAGAAACATAAGCCTAACACTTGTCAATATTGACATATGATTGTTATAGATACAGCACCTCATGTATGATTGAAAGGTGTTATGTTTTCTTTGAATCCTCAAGGATGGGCTAGCATTTGACAATAATATTACAATGTCACTGGCGGATATAGTAACGATATCAATCCGGTACCTGTATGGATGTAGAGTATTCTTTTTCCCTTGAATCTGCCAGGATTATTTTTCATCTCTGTTAACATTCCTCTGATTGCCTTTATATTGTACACTGGGTCCACCAATACTCCAGTTGTTCTTGAAATCTCAATAATGTTTTCTGCAGTTTTATTAAACGTTATAATTGTAAAACAAACTGATAAACAAAAAGAAGCTACAATTCTGATCACGTTAAGAACACGATGAAGCTCGTTGGGTTAGTGAGTTATTTGCCATTTTACTTATCTTAATTTCCTGATATTTTTCTAATAACGATAAAGAGCGTTTTTACTCCTCAAGTGGCCAGCTGGTATGCAAATTTATTGGAACACAAGAAATTTTTTACATAAGAAAAAGGTTCAACCCCACAGAATTGGTTTGGTACACCAACATACCACGGCCGCCATTTTATATGGTTTAGGGTCACCGATACGGTAGACGTGGGACCTCAAGCGGAAACGCTCTTCAGTTAAGCACCAATATTACCATTGACCTTGTTATTTCAACGTTTTTCAAGAAGGAAGGAACGTCAAAGCAAAACAAGAACTCTGCAGATGCATCTTACTTTTTAGAACTTTTCTTTACCATCACTGGGCGACTGCTACGCTTAACTACCCAATATAACCGTTTACGGGAGACGTAAACAAAAGGATCACAACACAGAAACGACGAACTTAGGTCATCAGGTGACCCATTTGTGACAGCGGACAGTCGACTCTGATATGAATTCTGTACGTCAATTATAAAACAACGAAGGGCATATATGCCCATTTTCAGGTCTGGGTAAGTGCGACATTTCACATTTTTCTTACACGTAGCAGGGGGACAGACGTTTCAACGGAGGGGAAGTCACGTGAAAAGAAATCAAGGAAAAGATTTGACCCATCTAAATAAAAAAGGGCTCAAGCGGAGCTCCGCTTATAGATAAACGTTTCTTTTATTCGATCACGAACTTTACCAGTTGTTGGTACCCACCTAATTCATGTTGAGTTGAAACAGCATATCCCTTTCCTTTGTATCCATCAATGATATCGATAATATCCTCTGCTTGAACATCAAGCCCCACAGCTCGGAGGTCTTCATCTATGATATTGTAATAGTATGCTGCATTGTCGGCTACATTAACTGCATTGCATCTAGAAGATGAAATGAGTAAAAATATGACGTTTTTAAGGTTCCGGGCAAAGCCTCTCTATAAGAGTAAAGACAATTAGCATTACAAATTTTATAGCGTCAATTCAAAAAGGACAAACGGGAAATTGTTTGTTGCTCGAAATATCTTTCAGTCGTAACTGATAATCAGTAGAATGCCTAAAATGCGTGCACACAATTGGTCTCGGCTCCATTAAATCCTATACCGGCCAACTGTAGAACATTTGAGCGAGAGGAGCACTCACAACGGAACACAGTTACTGGCAAGCAATTCTAGCGTTACCACAAATATAATGGATACCAAAGCTTCATCAGACACCGTACAAGGCAAGGTATATATTGCAGGTTCAAGTTCATGCAGTACATGTACAACTAAGCTCTACTGCAATGCTCAATGCAAAACCATTCGAGAAAAGAAAAATAAGAGAAAGGAAACTGCCTCAATTGACGTGCGTTGTTCAAACACGCGTTTTCATTGTAGACCCAGCGTTTTTAAAGTCCGGGGGCGATACTCTCTAGATGGCCT